CCATGCCGCTCACCGATAGCTGCTCGTGTGTCCATGCCGCTCACCGATAGCTGCTCGTGTGTCCATGCCGCTCACCGATAGCTGCTCGTGTGTCCATGCCGCTCACCGATAGCTGCTCCTGGGTCTGCATGCGCCCCCCCTCAGAAGATGTGGATAGTGGGGGTGATGATGGCTGCTCCGGCTGTCGTCCTGTTTAATCATGCGTGTGTCCGTCCTGGGGGAGCACCTCTCTAGCAAGCAGCAGCGCCCTCCGAGGGTGACGGTGCAGCACGGGGCAGGCGGCAGACTTGGAGCGCTTCCAAACAGACGGACTCCCACACTGGAGCAGCCTGGACTCTTCCAGGCCAGTCTCGTGACGGTGTAAAGTTACAGCTGTCCCACGGGGTAGACTGCAGACCCCGCCGAGGAGACGGGGGTCCTGATCCCAGTTCAAAGGACCTAGGTGGCCTGCAGGACAACGATATCTTCTCATGTTGGCTGCAGACTAAGGAAGCAGTGGGCTTTGACAGACACCGCCAGGGTTGGGTTAAGCGGGGAAATGAATAGCTACGGCATGGACGTGTCAGTGTGTCGCTGAGCGTGCAACTGACAAGCTATGTCTGTGTTTCTTGATAGCTTTGTTAAACTGAATAGCCATTTCCTCGCGCACTGATCAGATGTGGGATGGGGGAGCGACTTGGGCCATTTTAGCCTCTAGGGGGCCCACTCCACCAGCAGACCAAAGCACCTATGTGTGTGGCCGGTGAACAGGTGCCAGTCGCATGTTGAGTCCCATAGCCACCGGGCTGAAATTCACAGCGGGGCGGGCAGTGACCCAGCATGTAGATGCTTGCTGCCCCTCATCACTGCTCTTGGTGGCCCCCGTGAATACACTGTCCCTTAACAGCCACACTCGTCATGTGAGCTAACACCTGATGAGTGGCTGGCCAAGGACAGCGGCATGCGGGCTGCTATTTAAGGCCATGGAAGTGTGAAGGTTCATACTCCACACATAGCCAGTCCCTGCCCTCGCAGGTCAAAGGTCATGGGCCATCCAAAAAAAAGCACAGGAATGTTCCAGCTTCCTCCCAATCTTCCTTCCCCCCCCCCCCCCCCCCCCCCGTATGTCAGTGAGCCTAAGACAAACATGCCGACCGCAACGGCTGTGTGCTTTGAATGTCCCTCCTGATCCTGCTGCATCCTCCCCCCCCCCAAACACGGCCCATGAGCTGAGGTGCCCCTACTGTGCACATGCCCCCACCTCCTGAAGTGCCAGCATCAACTGAGAGGTCCTCTTCAGTTTGTGATGTTCGTTTTTTTCCAGTTTCGTGGAAAAAAAATGCTGGAAAATTTTAATGGCCTGGTTTTGAGGCTGAGTGGTGAAACATTAAGTTTTGGTGAAGTATGAAAATGTAATTCAGGGTGATGCTGGGTGTCACCACTCATTCACTGAATCGATTCAATCTCCAATCCCATTTGACTTGATTCGGTACCAAAGGTTGTTAATCTGTATATATTCAGCGTCTCCTTATGCTAATTAAATTTGGTTAACAGAGCACTCCACATGCTACTGTTTTGGTAAATCATGGCGATAAGCACTGAAGTGGAGGTGAAGGAAGGGACAGATCAGCAGCCACATCACCTTTTAAAACGGGAGATATGGTGGGAAAACAAGGTAAAATGATGTGGGTGCTGTGGCGGTACTTTCTGCAGTTCAAAGTCCGACATGTTTATAAAACTTAAGGATATGGAGAATTGATACACATGACTAACTTTTGGGCATCACAATGCACCTTTATTTAATATTTTAGGCATACTACTGCTCTGATTACCAGATTGTGAGCATAAGTAAACGTCCATATAGTACGAAAAAGCCAGTGTCCAGACAAATGTATATGTCCATGTGATGTGTGCTTGATACAACCCCAAGGGGCTGAAGCCCCGTTAGTCAGTAATGCCATTGCTGGGGGGTTTCTAAAGGGGGCTTGCGTTTTCATTTTATTTAATTTTTTTAAATCCACCGCTCCCCAGTCTCTCGATTTCCCGTTTGAGTCCTGTGATACATGCCGGTGTCGTGTGTCCATGCCGCTCACCGATAGCTGCTCGTGTGTCCATGCC